TGATTCAACTATTTTAATTTGTCCTCCACACCACCAAGATGTGTTCTGATATATAGGATTATGTGGGTCTACAGCTCGCATGTCTGAATTGTCCAACCATGCCCTAACTCTTTCTGTCCCAATCCTTGTACTGAGAAATTGAGTCATTAACCACAATGATTCCGCTGTGACTTTGACTCTTCCTCTCTTACTAAATCTCACACAGCTATAATTTCCTCCTGATGCAAGAATGTTTAATTCTTCGGGGTCTGGCCCAATGCAATTTAATGTCTGAATGATCTTTTGAATGTCGCTACCATTTCGCACATTATTTAAGACTCTAGCGTCATTCACACACTCCCAAAAATCTTTCAAGTCCTTCACCGCCTTCCCAATAAGACATGTTCTGAATGGATCTCCTGGTGTGGCTAGTGACAGACACAATGAGTCTTGCCCTGTTAAGTTTGCAAAAGACACCCATAAGTTTTGTCTTGTTTGGATGGTCCATGGTCCTGCTGTCGTTGTTGCGATGATTGCTGCTCCAAAGATGATCCATCCGATGAAGGTTCCTTCTCTACCGCCGGTTTCACCCATTTTGCCGGGATCCACGTAGGTCCACTGTCTGTAATGACACAAGCATAACCTCTTCCCCATGTTACTAATTGAAACGGTCCTTCCCATACTCCTTCCTTGTTTTTCACTAACACCTTAATTTGTTCGTTATATGTTGACATTCCTGTTGACATAGCTTGCATATGTTTCACAATGGGAGGAATAGTGTCTTCCCCTGCTAATCGTAAAAAGTTCATGACATATTGTACTTTCATTAATCTGTTTACTGGTGTCTCTCCAGAAAAGGTAGTCAAACTTTAGTTCGGAACCAGTGAAAAAAGAGCAACTAAGCAGACCATGTTAGTAACCAAAGAAAATATAACTCCAGCTCAACCCAGGAATGAGGAGGAAAAAACTTATCTCCATCAACAGCATGCCCTTCCTGAGAAACATCTTGGTGGACAGCAGTCGATGACTCCACACTCTCCCTGTTCTTCTCATGAAAGGCAGGTACCATGGACATAGGACTCATGGGGCATTGCAATGACGAACAAAACTACCAGGAAGTATATGTCAGCAATTTTAATGTATTATTAATGAGGCTTTTCTGATAATTTTGACTGTCCAGCATTATTGCAACTGGACTAATAATTTCTTTGTTATATTCTGATTAGACTGTGTATTAATTTTGTTTATATAACTTTAGCTAGCCAAATAATGACTTCTTGACTTTGTATATAAGGTGTGCATTTCCTTTTGTCTTGTAATAAGACTCTGAGTGTAACAAAGACTGAAAGCAGCTTTTCTGAGAAAAGCTTTCTGTGGATGGCAACTTCCAGTGATCACAGAAGACCTGGAATGGAGCTAGCGGGTTCCTGTGGCCCTGGCAAGCATCTTGCTTATACGCTATCTCCATATTTTAAGAAAAGTTGGAACTGGGGAACAGGGTTGCTTGAGCACCCAGAGCCCAGTTTTCATAACACACATACTAAGCAAGGGTTTGCAAACTTTACAGTGTTAGTGCCAAAACTTTCCTATAAAGAGATCAGGTAAGTCAGCATGTGGGTAATGTGGTCAGTGACACATAGGCTAGATCACGAAATTCAGACTTCAAAGGCAAAGACAAGAAATTAAAAGCTGAAATAGGAGCCTGTTGAATTAAAACACTGAAAAAGTAAAATTCCAGAAGGGATTGAAGCTGTAGAGCAGCATTATGTGCAAAGCAAGGCATGGACACAGCTCTTAGCAAAGCACCCTCTCATGATGATGCTGACAGAGTATAATGATTAATGGTTTGATTGAGATAGCAATGCTTCCCCAGAGAAGGCTAAAAGTCCACATGCCTCTGATGCTGAGGTGCTGCCAGTGTTCAAAGTGAATACTGTATCACCCATCATTACCTGGGTTACTGTAAAAAGAGAAGATGGACAAACAGAAAGGAAAGAAGGAGAAATACACAACCAGACACAGACTGAGTTGTTAGGGAAGAAATAATTATTACTGCTTATCAGATCTCAGAATAAGTAAGGGTCTTGGCCCCCAAATCAGATCCTTTAAACAAAAAAACTGTGTATTAAATGGCTTGTAAATTTAGATGCTAATACTGGTTTAACCATGGTGATCAAGAGAATTCTTCTCGAGCATCTGCTACAGCTTCTGGGTAGACTGATGGAATAACTGATATAAATGCAAACTTTGCAGTAATAAATAATCATTATAAGTGGATACATTACATTGTATTATATATATATATATATTAGTAGTAGCCAAATGTAACAGTAGAAGTGTATTTGGCATGGAAAAAGTTGTCAGCCTCTACTCATAGACTTCTAAATAATAGAGTCAGGCAAGTCAGGCAAGTTATGACCAGGTTGCATTTGAACAGTTGGGTATAGCCCAGCCCCAGGACATTAAACACATCTATAAAGCAAGGGAACTTAGACATTATTAGGATCTACCCAAGACAAGGAATTATAAAGACTGATCTAGGAAGAGTCTGGAGGAATACAGTTACCCACTGGCATCTGCCCCATTGCAAAAAGACCTCCACAGTAGAGACCCAGATGAAAAACTGAGAGAAACTTTAGTTTCTGAAACCATTGTAAAAACATAAAGGGCCAGAGATATAGTCAAGAACAGAACAAATCACTATCACATTAGACTCAGAACAAATACGTATAACAATGGAGATGATAAGACCCCTAAATGATGATACTTGCACTGAATTAAATCAAAGCCCCACACTTGATACATAAGAATCTAGCTTGAGCAACAAACAGTGAACCAGTTTGAGCAGTGAGGTCAATTATTGCTTGGGTAGAATTAGCAGAAGTGATCCAGCAAGCAAGAAGGATTATGAGAAATGAGAAAAGAGGATAATAACACATTGGAATTAGCCCAGCCTGTAACATTTGCTAACAGTGGGCTGCAGCAGTGGAGCTGGAGAAGGAGGGTAGGTGTGAGGCAGGGTGTTAGTAGGAGTGCCCAATGTTGTATGGACCTTGCACATGGAAAAGCAAGGAAGGATAAAAAAGAGTAATACAAAAGAAGAAGTAATCCATTTCAACCCTAAGGGTATCCCTACTTACAGGGTGCATTGATTTAGTTTAGCTGGTTTTGCTTTCTTTTTATTGTTGTATATATATATATGAAATGATAAGGATATAATACTGGGTTTTTTAATCAATTCCCACAGCTGAAGTTAAAATCAAGACCATCACATTCATCTATGAATAATAAGGAAAAATGGAACCAATTGTAAGGTGTTCCCATCTCCAAGCAAGGGAATCCCCATTTCTCTCAATGACAATATACATGTCTCCCATTAATAACAGTGATCATGATCACTAATATATGACATTTGTATATGCCACATAAATATACATGGATGAGATGTTGTGTATTAATAAAACATAATAGTTTAAGTGGGTGCTACAAAAAGTAAAGCTTAATCAATTAAGTATAGAAATAACTACAATGGTAAATTTTATTTTAGATGAATGTATGCTATTATGTGTACATTTGGAACATTGGGAGTGGAAAGACTGCACGTTTGTGTAGTGTTATATATGATGCCAGAGATATACAACAGCTATGTAAAAGTGGATGTTCTGGGCTAGGTAGAAAACAGATCATAGTGGAAACCAGAATTTCCTCATTGACAGAGATATAAAAAACTTCATAAAAGTATGGCATCCAACCATGTTCTAATTTTGAGAAAAAGACTTTTTGTTACCAAAGAGATAGCCAGATAATGTTAGAAATGTGTAACACCATTGAAATTGTGTGTTCATCACGTGCCCACAAATTATTGTAAATTATCTCATTTTGTATAGTTTATCTGGTAATAGATGTGCAAGTAAAGTAACATCTGTTGAAGGATGAGGTTTTAATTACATCACACCTACAGAAGCCATGATCAGCTTCCAGGAATCATTGCAATTGTATGGTATGTTAGGCTCAATGCCTTTGGGAATTGCCAAGCACTTTTCAACAATTCTCAAACAATTGTCAGAAATGCTAGAGCACCTCACTCTTACACCATGTGGTACAGAAGCCACAAAGGGAGAGGTTGATGTACACTGAACAGCTCACCAAGTAAACCACATTATTACCACAGTCAGTAGAAGTGCCCCTCAGAGCGAAATTCCTCAACTGGAAGAGTTTGGAACTTGGCTTTACATCCTAGAGTCATCATTTTAATCATTATACTAATTTTTCTTAGCTATAAGAATCAAATGTTAATTATGTGGTGGTTATACATAAGAATTAAGAAGTACAGATTACTCTCAGACCTCTACAAGTTATCTCAAGGTAAGATCAGACAGAAAAGAGCCAACATCTCTGATATCTGCTGCCTCATCCTGATCAGTAGCCTTGAGATATAGAGGGGTTGCAACATCCATCTTTGACCTGTAAAAAGTGTCTGTGAAGTGGACTAATAACAGGAGGGATTATAGCCCTGTAGCCCAATAAATATGATTTTGCCATTTTTAGCATGCTAATAGAATGAAGACATCATATCAGGCAACTAAATCTCACATTCAAATTGAAGAGGTGTTTATGTTTTTTTTTAAGTGCCAAATTCTGTAACGCTGAATGACGTACATGAAATTGAGCTTTTCTGAAAAAATACTAGGTCTTGACTTTCTCATGTGTAGAGCTATGTCTTGCCATATCGGGCCTCCAATGGTGAGATTTGCAGGCTCATTTAAGTGCATAGCACTGATTATCACCTCTTTACCTGAAGTAAGTAGCAACAGCAACTTCTTGCCTGCTGTAGGATCTAGTTGCCAGGCTGGTATAAAACCTGTTTATTTTACCTGTGGTTTACACAACTCTTAGACTCTATAAGCTACTTAAAATTAGTAAACTCCTTATTTTAATATCTCTAAGGGGCAATGCATCAGAGTGCACAAACACACATTGATTTTATACTTTCACCCTGAAAAAAAGAAGAGACACAAGCCTGAAATCTTCTTGGACTTTAATCACAAATAGAATCACAATGCATTGATACCTCACAATTCAGGTCAACAATTTCCCCTTCATTTTATATCAGGTGTCCTACCCACTGTGAAGTGTTGTAAACATCAAAGACCCTTCAAAGACCCTATTCACTTGCACTTTACAATATCTTAGATTCCCAGAAGGACTGCAGTCTTCTTGCAAATCCACTTGTACAGGGAGTGGCAGTTATCAGCATGCATTTTTGTCAATTTATAGGCAGCACATTTTTCTTCTTTCTTCCTTCCTTTTATTGTAAAACTGCACAAGCCAAACAACACACACATATGAAGATCATTGAAAAAAATTGTCTGCATATACAAGGTCTTTATGCTGTCACTCTTTTAATTCTCTGACATGCAGACAGGTTTTATTTGTTTAGTAAGCTGCATCCTTTCTTTGTTTCCCTATTTGTTATGCAGCTGGAAGTATAAAGCTTACACAGCATAGGTATCTCCTAACAAAATTAGTTCCTTTTCTGAGAGCTGTCAAGGAATTTCACTTTTCAACTGCATGTCTTGATCAGAGTTCTGTACTGAGAAAAATCATAATAGGCTGAGCTGCCTAACTGGAGTATGAGTCCTGACATCTTGCTACTACTTTCTCACAGTCTAATGGCTGAACAGCCCGGGCACAGCAGGTGGAAAACACATCGTGGAAACCAACACAGATTGACTCCAAAATGAACTTACCTGTGCCCAGAATGGTTGGGATCATTGAGCCATACCCATCTTCCTTCCTCCTCATCAAATCTTAATCCAGTCCAAACAAATCCAATGTCTTTATTCTTCAGTTTGTTTAAGAAATCCTAGAGAGAGGTATGTCTTTGAACTGTCATAATAATGACAGCACCAGCAATGTATATTGGTAATTAATATTTTTAAACCAGCAAAGCGTGCATGCCCAAAGATTCCAGAGGATGTTTCCAAGATATTGAGAAAAAACAAACAAACAAACAAACAAAAAACCAAAAACCAAATAAAAAAAACAAAACAACAACAACAACAACAAAACACAAAAACATACCAAAACAAAACAAAACACATGGAAATGAGTTCAGATTGTGAACTACACCCAGTACCCTGGCCAATGATGGTAAACAGAGCAATCAAGGATCTAACCTTTGGTTCCTTACTGGCCCCAGGTCCATTCTACTAGCACATTTTAGAAGAGGATCAGGCTGATCTGAATTACAGGAGCTGAAGTGATCTCTTTTCCCCCACTACAAAGAAGGGAGGTGATGGTTTTGCCAGCTTACCCTCCTGGGTGCACTAGAAGTGACTCTGAAGCTGGTCACCTTTAAACAAAATCAGGAGCACAGCAAAGTCACACTAGAGGTTAGGATTTGGTCCACAGAACTGTTGTTTCTATTGCTGCAGACCTGGTACTAACATTTGAAAATTAACAATGTATAAAGAAACAGCTTCATCCCCCAAAAAAGGCAACAGCCTTTATGACAGCATAGTTCTGAACAGGTTTGATTTGGAATAAAACATGCAAGAATCCTTCAAATACCAACTGCTTCTTTCAGGAGATAATCTGTAGGCATATCATCACATTTATTTAAATGAAATGTAGGCTAATGATCTTCTGTTTGACACAAATGTTTCTTAACATGCAGAAGCCAATCATCAGAGCACTTTCCACTGACAATGCCTTTTATAAGCACATCTGGATTATAAATGGCTTCTAAAAACACATGGAAAGCTATACTTCCATATGTGAATTCACAAATTATAAGTAAAAAGAACATTTAAACCACAGAGTACCTTACAAGCTTACCATTTCAGTCTCATCCTCTATAACCAGGAGCTCAGATTTTTTTCCTGAGCAATAATTTCTACTATTTTCCCAGGTGTCACGAGTTTCTGAGTAGAAATAACATCTCCCATAATGCAGCTTCCAGCCGGTGGGGCAGAGTTCACATCTGGTGTCTGTGAAGAGTTTGGGGTGAAGGGATTTTTGTCAATTGTTTTTGATTAGGTTGGGTGGGTTTTTTTATGCAACTGACACCATTATTATTGGTTCCTGATTTTTCTGCAGCTTTTGAATAAGAAAGTAAAGAAGCTTTAAACCAGGGACAGGGCAGAAATTGTGATGGCATAGCTCATTTTAAGAAAACACATTGTCCCTGCTTTACAGTGGTAATAAGGATAGTCATTCTTTGACTAGTGGTCACTCTGTGCCTTTCAATATTTCTGAACTCTAGATAAGTGTACTAAACATTTTATTTGTATTACTAAACATAATATTTGGGGTACTAAACATTTTATTTGTATTACTAAACATAATATTTGGGGTAAAAGCCATGGGTAAAATCCCAGCTCTGCTGAAATCCCTGAGAGTAGTACAATTCAATGGCATCCATGTAGAAATAGCACAGACCTTCAGCAATGATGCTCCACTTTAATTTTTGCTTAAACTGAAGTTTTCAAGGATAGAACTCTGAAATAGATCACTTTGTACATCTTTATCAATATAAGCATGCTTATTCTAGTACCCAAAGCTCAATTCCTTTGTTCAGGTGTTTATTTTTATATTAATCTTTCAAGAGCTTCAAAATCTGCTACGAGGGATTTTTTTTCCTTACCATTTGTATTCATGCATAAGCTTTCCTTTAATGTAGTCAGTAAGCTGTTTTCATTAAGATCTTCCTCAAAGATGCTGTCACTTTCAGAAAGATTTCCTCTGGGCTCTGACATGCCACTTGGTAGAAAGCCACCTGGACAAGAATCTCCAACATTTTAATGTAAAACTCACAAGTGAACTGTATCGAAACCCCATATCATTTTTCTATGGAGCTTTAAGTGACAACTCAAATTGCTCGTTTGTCCTTCCAGCTCTCCTGTAAATGGAGCTGAAGAGTTGAACATCCAAATCATAGACAATAAACAAATACATGAAGTGACTGAATTCACAAAGTCAGTGTAGAGTATCATCATGCTTTTGACAACATGGTATGTAACAGTTTTCTTTAAAATAACATGGTTGTGCCTTTGATTTTTCCATTTCCTGAAATTGGTATTGAGCTTATTTCAGAAAAGAATAACTTGATATGAGGGGACAGAACTTGCATCCAGAGAAAGGGAGAACAGCTGACTCTGAAGGACACTCATGCCCAGAATTGCTTCTGAATTCTCATTTTCTCCTGTGTTCTCAAGTGATTTTTATGTGCAAAGTGATTTTGATATCCAGAAACAGGCCGAACATTGATACTACCAGGCCAAGATTTTCTAAAGGAGGAAACTAAAATTAGACTCCTTGATCAATATTCAGATGTTTGTTGATGGCAACCTAAAAACTTGTTCAACTTGCTTGACCAGGACAACTGCAACCATTTCTCTCTGAACTCTAAGTTTAGATGTTCAGTGATAATGGCACACATCTGTGCTGGATAAGTAAGATCTGTACACATGTGATCAATGCTGGCAGCGATCCAGTGCTTCTGCACAAATTCTGCAGACAATGAAAAGGCCACTTTTATAAACTTAAAGGCACACATTTTTATTTCTGTATAGAGAGGTCATTTCCAACTACGTGTACTATCTTCCAGCCTCCTATCTCACCCATCCCTGAAATCCATCTCACATTCCTATTGTACACACCAGGAAGGACTGGCTGAGACTTAAGGTAAGCAAAGCAGGGCATCAGGAGGTGAAGACTGGCTGTGAGGATGAGGGGAGGAGCAGATAGCAGGGGTTCCAATTTTACCATATACCTGGAATGAATTCTGTTTCATTACTGAGTTTTTCCAAATGGATGATGGATGGATAGATGGATGGATGGATGGATGGAAGGAAGGAAGGAAAGAAGGAAGGAAGGATGGATGGATGGATGGATGGATGGATGGATGGATGGATGGATGGATGGATGGATGGATGGATGGATGGATGGATGGATGGATGGATGGATGGATGGATGGATGGATGGATGGATGGATGGATGGATGGATGGATGGATGGATGGATGGATGGATGGATGGATGGATGGATTCTTTGGCTCAAAATCTTGGTGATTTGTTCAATTTTGGAAAGGAATAGGAGGGACTCTCAGGTTGAGGGACTGAAAAGTAAGAAAGTCTCTAGCCCTCTTCATACACTTCATGCTACAGTCCTCAGAAATCCACTGACCTTCTGCAGATCCACAGCCCCAACATGCTCATGACTCCCTCCCTCCTTCATCAAAAACACAATAGTAGAAAGCATGAGTGGTCTTGTCACCTTATCAAAACAGTTTGTTTAAAAAACTTGTTGAAGTTAAGGATTAATACCTGTCAGTTTCACAGGAATTAAAAGCATTTAACTTGGTCACTCACATTGCTGAATTAATGTGATCACAGCTCCCAGAAATACAACATTCAGAAATCCTGAGAGAGCAGCAAGATACCACAACCCTGAAGAATTAGAGGGAAGTTCTGCAAGAAATAAGAAGGTTTTACAAACACAGCATGAATTGCTACCCAGGACATAAATCTAGGTTTCTCTGGACATCTTTCAGACAGAACACGCATCACTGTCACTTTGCCATGTGCTTTGTCACAATTGCTTTTTCCCTTCCTGCATATCGAGTTGGTTTTTTTTTCTAAAAAATTTTCATTTATGAAAATGTTTTGGGGGCTTGAATTTTCTCATGCTCCCTTCACTGCTTGCCAGTTCATTTGAGGTTTTGAACAGTTTCTACTTCTTCATAGCAGGAGGATGTCACTTGCTGATATCATGAAGACTGATAGAAGCTACAGCAAGCACTTAACAAACATTGCTAAAGAAAAACTCACAAACTTAGTGAAAAAGAAAGAACTGAAGTTTATAACAGTTGGAGGGAAAGAGATGTATATAACGTATAAGAAGAGAAATTAGGTTCTAGGGCTATGAATACCAACACTATCAATCAAGAAAGTACCAGTAGATTCTCTGAAAATTAAACTCTTTAACTCCAGGACCCACTGATCAGTTTTATCACCTGTACACTGGATGCCAAGTCACAGTCCTTTAGAAAAGACTATATTATAATTTGGAGGTTTGTTTTTTTTTTTTAATTGAGTCCTTGATATTCAGCCATTCCCACCTGGAAAATTGCTACAAAATGCTTGAAAAATTAAGTAGCAATACATTAAACAGGGATTCTCTGCTGTCTGGATGCTTGATTAAGGCAAGTGAATAGAGATGCAAAAATGAGCTCCTTTGCAAGTCGAAGAAAATTACTTTTCATTAAAATCAGAAAAGCCTTGAAATGCACAGTCATGGTGAATCCTCCTTCTCAGTATTACCCAACAATCTTAAAATTTATTCTTGTAGGACTGTCACACTCCTGCCATAGCAATTTTTAGTGAAACCCGCTGCTTCTGTTTGCTCACTCACTTTATTTCAGAATTTCTACATGCCTTGACATAGAATCACAGAACTATGTGGGCTGGAAGGAATGTCATCTCGTCCAGAGTCCTGCTTAAGTTGAGTCAGGCTACAGCAGGTTTCTCAAGGCTTTGTCCCACCAATTTCTAAATATCTCCAAGGATGGGGACTCTACAGCCTTTCCAGGCTCCTGTCCTAGTGTTTGACCACAGTAAGAAAAATTTTCTTGTATCAAATTGTAATTTTTCATGTTCAAACTTATGCCTTTCAATGTGCACCTTCAAAAACAGTTTGGCTCGGTCTTCTCTATACCCTCCCATTCAGTAGTTAAAGATAAGGCTCCCTTCAGCCTTCTCCTCTTAGGGCTGCACAAAGCCAGTTCTCTCAGCCTCTCCTCCTGTGTCACTTCTCCAGATCACTCACTGTCTCAAGAGCCCAGCGCTGGAATCATTCCAGTGGGTTGCCAGAGTGCTCTTGGAAGGGGTAGTGATTCAGTTAATGTAAGCCACAATACAGCAAAGCTCTTTAAAATAACCGAGGCATAAAAGATGATCTATGATATCTCATAGGATTCCTTGGAGCAGGTAGGAGAACAGTAAGAAGTTGCCCAGCTGTGCAGAAAATGAAATGTTAATTTTTCTTCCTAGTTTTTTCAGGAAATACTTTGTGAGTCTCCTAGAAAGACCAAGTCATGATACACCGTTCTCTTTGCCCAAGCTTAACTTCATGGGAAAAAAGATTTCACATGTGTACCTTCCCTAAGTTACGACCCAGGAGTAAAGTCAGAGAATAACAGAAGGATGATTTTCCATTTCATGGAAATGGCGGTTCTTGGGAGAGAAAACAGGATGCAAAAACGTTTCACCATGTAGAGAACTTGTTCTCTAACTAGTAAATGAGATTAGGAAGTACACCATGGAAGTATCCTTTAAAAGCCATTACATTTCAAATGCTGGTGGTTCGGATCAGATGTGAAGCACCTTTTTGAAAAGTTCTCTGCTTCTACACTATTATTTCAAAAACGTAATGCATGGAGCTGTATTTCACACCATGAAACAACTTGAACTTTGTGCTACATGATAAACTCGTTCCCACTAACACTTTCACTTCATGCCTCATTTCTAGCTATCACCATTTTGTACAGTCAAACAGCTTTTATCCTCATCTGTCTATTCAATCATACTTGCATGGGAAATGCTGTGACTAGTCATCTCTAAATATTCAAACAGCTACTCCCCAATGTTTCTATATTGCCGCCCTATTTGGATGGCAAATATATGTAGACAGAATGCAGTACTTTTTGCTAGCCATGCAACATATCATGGTTAAGCATCTGTGTGAGTTTTCCTTCTTCCTTTGGGTGCTGTGCAATGATTTTGACATAAAAAAATAAAGGCAATTAGGATAGCTGAAGACTAATCTTAACTCTGTCACGATTTGCACAATGGCTAGTCTGAAGGCAAAACAGTAACAGTGACTTGTGGAAATACTGAGATTAGTGCCCAGCTACCCGGGGTGGGCTCTGGTAGCAGCAACGGCCTGGCTAACAGCCCCGTTTTTGCCTAGCTTCTCAAGACAGCTCTGCAGCACGCACCGCAGCCAAGACGGGGAAGGGGAGCTCTGCATCGCAGTCTTCCTTCTGTTCCACATGAACTGGCACAAATATTGCACTAGATCATGCCAATAAGGCACTGTGACCATTTCTAACCACTTCGGTGAAGAGACTTCTGCATTTGGTATGTATATCATGCTATCATGACTAGTCCACGTCGGGTCTAACGCTAGCTCACACACCTTTCACTACAAGCAGAAACTCAGCATGCAGTGCACTGTTTAACAAGCTAAATGAAAGCACTGTTCTCTTCAGTTGCTTGTCTGAAGTCTTCCTACTGCCCTTTTGTGTCATGCTACCAAGTTGTGCAGGTAGATGGTGGAGATAGAGCATTTTTAACCCGGCTTTGTCACTGTGTGCTCTGCCCGTTTGTGGTCATGTACCATTCCATGTATATTCACATATGCTTTGTCTGACTTTCTACCTCTTTCAAATGGAAATATTCAATCTATTCCATTACACCAATGTTTTTGTGCGCTTTGGCAAATGTTTTAAAGACCAATGAAAATTCTTAGCTAAATAAATATTATTTTTTATGATCTGTTTTCTGATATTTTTTTTCTCAGTTTTGCTGGTTTTGTGCTATTACTGCAGCAAAAACACAAGGTCTGAATAATTTGTAATAATAGACAAACTGACGTAATTTACATCAATAAAATTGCACATAATTTATCCTGCCATACTGGGTAACTGAAGTTGGCTTTTGGGTTTTTTCTACTAAAAATTGTTCTTGCATAAATGTGCAGCCAGGATTTTTCAGGAACTGATCATCATAGCTAATTAACAGTTTGAAAACTGGATGTCTAATTTCTCTGAGGATTTGCTATTTGTGATCTGAGAAGCTCTTCCCTTGGACACTTAAAAGAAATAAAAGTTAGCAAGGGATGAGCTTGAAAGCCTTCCAGCATATACATTTGTATGTTCTCCCTTGCTGCTCTTGACACTTGAGACAAAATCCCCAGAAGTTGTTGAAAAGGCTGACTGGACAGTAAGTTACTGTCTTACAGTTTTTATATTGGTCTTAAATTCTTCAAATTAGTCTTAAATTCTTCATAGCTGTGATTCCTGAAAACAAAACAAAGCGAAACAAAAAAATCTAATGAAAATCCCCAGAGAAAATTTCAACAGGTAATGAGCTGAGACCACTGCCAAACGTGCTGCCAGCTACTGCCTCCTTTTCCTTATATGCTCTGTCTCCTGGTCTCCAATTTGCACCGGGAGAGTCAGCACCAGTGTTCCAAGCCTGGTGGTACTATTAGTACTGCATTTTATCTACTATCTATCATATCTGTCTGTATACTGCCATACGTCATCGTCAACTTTAGTAGCACCAAGTAAAATTTTAGCAGATTTGTGTTTTTTCATGATAACACAAATACAAGATATGTTACTTACAGAACAAATCTGACGGCATGCCATAAACACCTGTACGCTCACCTGCATTGGAGCTTTTCTTCCTGGCTTTGAAATGAAGTTCTGTGTAACCCTCTTCATTCTCCATTTCAAGGTCTTTTTATGACTTCTTCCTCCTGAAGACTGTTTGACTGTTAAACTAGGTTATGGGAAACGCTTCAAATGAGTGTGATAAACAGGAAGGGGACAGCGGATGACCATTTGTGCTTTTAGCTGAAGCCATGCAGTAGCAGGACTATGAAAAGGAACGTGATTGCACAGACAAGTTTTCTCTTCTTTTTCATTTCCCCTGTCTTTCACTGACAGACTCCAGACCCTTCTAACAGATAATTCTAACACTGCATATTCTCTGATGCAATATCACAGTCCTCAAATACAGCCTTTCAATCCACACACTCTGTGTGTCTCACACGAGAGAATAGATTTGAGCCCCTCAAGCCCATTTCACTGGATTGATAAACTTTTCTTGTTTACTTTATATTAAAATTGGCTGTGTCAACTTCTGTGTTTTTCTCAAATGCTGAGAATTGATCTTGCTTTATGAAAAGAAGATTGTGTGCACAAGTCTCCCTAAATAGATGGAAAGGGCATTTAAATAGATGTGTTGATTCTTGGTTCTGCTTTGTGCCTGCCCACTTGAGCTACTGTTCATAAGTTTGAGCAACTTAATGACTTTCTTTAAACGGAGACTGAAGCAGGTCTGTTCAAACATCACAGTTTGTAATGTTCCTATTGCACTTCAAAAGGACAAGCCTGGGATTTTTGTATCAGCAAGGAGATTTTACTTTTAAATTACGTGCAAGGTCTCTCCCAAGCTGGAGATTCTAGCAAGTTCTTGGTGATCTTTTAAGTGCTAGTCTGGATTATTTCTTTCTGGAAATTGAGGATTCAGTAGAAAGTTGAAAGTTGGATGGGTTTTTTTTTCTCTGAAATGGTTATAATGATTTCTGGCTGTTGTCAAATTGACCAGGTTTTAACCAAGGTTTTCTCTGGATTAGGACTACATTCTGGCTTCACCTTTAATGTGCCCACATAGTGTCTAGTGGTGATAGATCACGGGAGACATAGACCGTCATGTCATTAGCTGTAGTATGTAATTAAATACTAAATATTTACCTCAGTCTGGAGGAATGTAAATGCATCCAGAGCACTAGAGAGAAATTTTTCACTGATTTCTTAAACAAAACCTCCCTGATTATTAGGAATGATCATTTAAGCTTGGAAACCAATGTAGCTTTACCTCAGCTTTTATGTTGTGGTTAGCACCAGGAAGCCAGGGTCAAGCTGTATGCAGTACAACATATTGCAAAAAAAAAAGTGCTCTCCAGAGAAGTCTTTTAAACACAGACATACTATTTGAGGCTGATATATCAGTACGAAACACAGGGTGCCGAGTGACCAACAAATATATTATGTTTCTACAAGGCGGTCATACTTAACCATGGAGCATCACGATGCTAAATAACTGTCCTGTACCTGGTGCAGACAAACCCTTGCAGCGTTACCAGCTTTCTGAATCATTTTCTCCCAAGACACTTGGAAGGCAAAGTTTAAATGTGGAGCTTTTAACTGTTTCTAGAACAGCCCTGGAATGATTTACATACTCTAAGCTATAGTTTTTATGTTCACCAGATGCAACAGCTGGTCAAATAAAAGGCACAACTCCAAACAAACCTTGCTTGATTTAACACACTTAGGTTGTTCTGCATCCATCCCTACAGTGGATATGCAGTACTTACAGAACCTGTGCTGGAGCAGGTTTAGCCTGAAGGGCTGCAGCCCATGGAGGACCAATGCTGGAGCAGGGGAACAGTGTGGGGAGGAACGAGCAGCAGAGAAGAGAGGAGCTGTTATGGACCGACCCCACAAGCCCCATCCCCCTGCACCTCTCAGCGTGGTGAGGGATGAGGGCAGTGAAGTCAGGAATAAAGCAGTGAAGATGAGCCTGGGAAGAGGGAGCCGGGGGAAAGTGTTGCTTTAATCTTTTAATCTTCATTTCTCACTATCCAAACTTATTTTAATTTGCGATAAATAATTAACTTTCCCCAAGTCGAATCTGTTCTGCCCATTTTGGTAGCTGGTAAGTGATCGCTGCCTTTATCATGACCCACAAGGTTTTTCATCTTGTTTTCTCCCCTGTCCTGTTGAGGAACAGGAATGAGAGAGCGGCTAGGTGGGTGTCTGGAAGCCAGCCAAGCTCAACCCACCACAATCATCTTACCAGTCCATAATACTTTTCTTTTTTTCTTGTATATTTGCTAAGCTGTGTAAAGATCTAATATACCAAAGGCAGTGGGTCCTGTGGGTGTCCCAGGAAACTCTTAAAAAGATTAGCAAAAGACCACCTACGGGAATAATGGCAGAAATTGGTTCCTAGGTGAATTATCCTCCTGCAGATGAATAAACAGGTTTAAAAATTCATGTATCTGGTAAATAAGCTGTCCTGATAGTCTTTTGTTTCATTTATACAAAATCCCCTTTACACTCTCACATTAGTTTTTAAAAGTTTGGAGTAAAAGTGAAAATATATTCATACATATACAAATAAATATTGCAGAAAACTCACCCAAGGACAGGAAAAAGTCTTTCAGGCTAAAAAAAATAACACTTCCCCTTCAAAAATTAAGCAAACAATTGATGCATATGCGCAGTACACATCCAATAATGATACAGCCAATTACATATATATTAAGTCCTATGTAGCAACCAAGCATTAATATTTTAGTAGCCCTTCTTGCTACAGTATTTTCAAAGGTCTGGGTTTTTAATATTCTGCCAAGGATGGCATCGTTGTTAGTTTTGTGTACTGCAACACTGTCTTGGTATAGTGGGTACCATATAAATGTAAGACAAGATGGTGATTTTAACTTGTCACAGCTTATTGCTACTCCTGTAAAAAGATAGATCATAGAGGTGGATACAGAAGGAAAATGAAGGAGCATGGAGAACACGAGAAGGGTAAACCAGTAATGCTGTTGATGATGGGTGGTGATCTCATAGCAGTATCTGAGGTTTTAATTCCACACTAGCAGAGAGCAGCTCTGGGAAACTACTAGGGGAAAGTCAAGGAGTAAGATATTTACAGGCAGTGTCTTTTAGCTGTGTCAGAGGCTGGAGGAAAAAGCACAGAGCTGTTTATTAAATAAGTTTGTAAGTTAAGTTAAGCTCCAGGTTGTTCGCAGGTTGGCAGTAGAACCTCAAAGCAATGTTGCAGGGATGAAGGTAGGAGCCCTGAAAATGTAAATCACTGTCTCAACAGAAAGATGAAGCATGCAACTTGGGCCAAACACCAAGCCAGGGAAGCAATCCAGGGAAATGTAGACATGCTTATATTTAAACATCAGTGTCCACATGGAACTTTTTGCGTATGTGTGTACTTATAGGTGATGTGCATAGTATTTTACAAGATCACAAACCTAGTTCCTCTTATTTTTGCATGCTCAGAGAACTGGCTTTGCCTTTCTTTCATCCTGCTTCTTGTTTCTCAGACTTCACACTTCACATTTTATTTCATCAGAAAGAAAACTTCAAAGCTGCTTACATGCATATATAAAATGCTATATCATTTCCTTTTCTTTTGTGAAGTCCAACGTATGCTTCTAACTGAAAACAAGAATTTTAAATTGAATTCTGAGAAAGGCAAACAAGCATCCTTTCTGGGCAACATGGGCTTGTCAATCCAAGTCAAAAACACTTGAGTTTTTTCTTTTTTTTTTTGGAAGGATATTTATATTCCTTTTACTGAGATGATAGGATCCAGAGGATGGTAGCAGAGCTAAAGAACCAGGCAAGAAAAGGCTGTGAACAGCAAGAAGCCAACCTCCAAGAAGTTAGGTGCTGAAATGAAGCAAAAGGAGAGGACCATAAATTCTATGAAGTTGAATATGAAAACACAAAACAAGAAAGAGACTGAGGAGCAGCTTGCAAGAAACATAAAAATAACAAAACCCCCCTTCTTCAGGAGCAAGGAATATCCCAAAAGGTCTGTAAGGCAGTAGATGATCAGTTTATAGATAAGGAACACAGTTCCGGGGGAGGAGAGGTGGTGGATCAGTGCTTTTTTGCTCACGTTTGCTGTGGAGGAACTTGGGGAGCTTCTCATACTAGAATCTTCTTCATTGGTGACATGTGAGAGGCTGTCTCAATTCAGAAGATCAGTGAAAGAGGTTATAAAACAAACTGGCAAAATTAATAGGTCCAAATGGCCAAGGTCAGATGCTATTCATCCAGAACTTCTAAAGGAACTCTGCAAACAGCCAGCCAAGCTGCTAAGAGTGGCATGCAATTTGCTTAGGAATTTCCTGGTGTCAGAAGTTGAGTCTAGTTTTTAAGGGTCTCAAAGGAAATCTGGAGTACTTTTAATCAGTAAATCTGATGTTTATACCAGAAAAAAAAAACAACCAAACAAACAAACAAACAAAAAAAAAAACCAACCAAACACAAAAAAAAAGCGCCACAAAAAAAACAAAAAACGAACAAACAAAAAAAACAAAAACAAAACAAAACAAAAAAACAAACAAACAAACAAAAAAAAACCAAACCCAAATAAAGAAATGTCATCATGTGGCTAAATATGTTCACTAATGAAAGGTATTTAGAGGAAAATCATGTCTCTCACTTCCAAGGGAATTTCTTGAAGAATAATTCTGAATTCCAAAAATTTAATTATTTTCTTTCTGCAAAGGTAAATCTCCATAGCATGAGATTTTAGTGGTGATCAGTTTTAACTTGAAAAGACATGACTTTTTCCAATAATCTAAAATAGCTTCACTATAAAAACAGACACTGTATCAACTTCCAGTTTTCTGTCTATTGTCTCCATTTGTGAAAGGGTCCAAAATCCACTGCATACACCATCTTCTAAAATTAAAAGTTATGGACCTGCTTTAATAGTAGTCTTATCTCCACTAAGAAAACAATGAAACAGTGCCCCAGTCCAAACCTTTGGAGTTACAATTACACTTTTTGTCTTGCTCTACTATATTTTTGTGCATGGATGTCAAAGTACTGATTTTCTGTAAGGTGCTCTTGAGTCCACAACTCTTAATACAGGATTTTTTTTTTCAGTAATCAAAGCACACAATTTAGTGAACATTATGGATTATGTGCTTTCCTTAACCTGCAATACTTGCAAAAGAATAATCTGATTTTTAAATCCCTTCTTTTTTGCAAAGAAATTACATATGAAAACAGAACTGAATACTGTCTGTCAGGGCAGGGTATTAATTTAAGCCTTCTTTCCAAATAAAGCATTGATTAAATCAGTTTGCATGACTTTACAGCTGTATAAGATATATTAATTTTATTACTTATATTAATTTGGATCTCCTATTAGAAAATACTGTAGCAGTCTTCTGGGTCTTCATGGCTTCTTGTCTGCCCTCTCAGTCCTTTCTTGTTCCATTTATCACACGGTTATATCTTTTAATAAAGAAAAATACTACCTATGTGTTGTCTTTTCATATTACCACTACCACCACAAACACAACTGAGTTCCCCAGCATGTGTGTTACTGTGGTTAACATGCAGAATAAAGCTTCACATAGGAATTCACAAATACTCTGCTCAGATTTACAATAATTTTCCATTATAAATGTAATTTGTGTGTTCATGTTTGCATCCACTCTTTGAAATTCAGCAATTATATTAAGAAATACCTGAGGGTGGATAATAAGTGCTTCTAGATCTGACTAATTTGACTTATGGAAAATGAAAAGGACATTTTAGATAAGAAATTTGTTTTGGCTTCACAGCACCACTGGTAGCATGCATAAATTCTCGGTTCGCTGAGAATATATTGCCTATACTGAATTTATGCCTCACTTAATTGCTCTTGATGAAATCAAATTTGTGTCAGGCCTCCTGTAAGACAAAGCCAGTCTCAGTATTGTTGTTCTGAGGCTATCATTCTACTCTGCACATTTCTTTGAAGAGTAAAGTATCTCTTCTGGTTTTGGCAACAGATAACACAACTGTGCAGATTTACCATTCCTGTGTTTACACAGAGGTCTGAAACATCAGAGCAGTGATGGGCCGTGACTTCTGATGAGTTATGCGCTTCCCCCTCCTAAACACTGACTGCAGACTGCTAAATTGCTGTAGCTCTCTCCAGCTGGGGAGGTAAGATTCCTGATGTGATTCTGGCGGTTGAGGCTACAGGCAGGTGCACCTCTGCTCTTGGTGTTTTTGAAGAGAGAGAGCCTTGCACCTCACATGTGATATTTTGTACAGTTGAGCAGCCTACAGAGAGAAGGCCTAACACTCGAGCAAAGCTTCTTCAGGTCTAGCTTAGGACAAAGCACAAACAAGATAGATCTTCCTTACATTTTTTTTCACCAGACAATGTATTTTCTTTGGGACTGTGTTGGCCACTGAGAACAGACCCCGCCGTGGCAGCTGCACTGGCAGGCTTCCTGAATAGCCTGAAATCCAAAGCAGAATCAGCGCGTCCACACTGGGCATGTGAGTTCCGGCTGCCTACACTTCCCATTTCTGCTCTGTGGCAGATTACCTCAGGGTGTTTCTGGGAAGTACGTTTGAGATGACATTGTCATGCAGCAGGAAAGACAGGGAAGACACAAAGGTGCGGGTATGAAGAGGGCACTCATCTCAGCCCTGAAGTAAAAGGCACAGATGAGCTCTTCTCTTCTGTAGCGGCTGGGGTGCTTCGCAATGTCTGTGGCTTGAGCAAGGAAGCAGCACGTATAGTCAGTAAATTTAAAACACAGTGTAGAGAAACTGAGGAAAGCTCTGCCACAGTGTTCACATTGGTGGCCTTCTACAGCTGTCTCTCGGAGCAGTAGGTGCTACAGATGTTTGGCAGTGCTGGAAAGAGCTGGGAACTGGTCATCACAAGCTCCACTCTGAGTAAATCCTTTTCAACATCCTATTTTGTTCTTCTAGCTATGAAGCTGGACTCCAATTTCAAGATGCTATAATATTCTGTTAGGTCAGTGATGTTTCCCATAAACTATAAAAATGCTACAAAAATCCTGAACTACAAGAACTCAGAGTTTCTAGTTACACAACTGGTGGAGATTTTTTGTAATGTTTGGGCTTTGTGTCTGAGAAATCTCTTTACATGCCTAAAAGCAACTGTGGTTTTAGCAGATCTGAGTGGTTTGCAATCACTCAGATGCATTGGGAGAATAAACTCATTTAACTCTGAAATGTAATAACATTAGTTTTTGTAAATATTTTAATGGTGTTGTGAACACTGTTACAGTGCAACATGTAATAAAGCCACATTTCTTAAAATTCCACCTCAAAGCATGTTTCATGTAAATGAAGATCAAAATTCTGTAAGTGGCAGTGACATCATATAAAGAAGCAGGAAGCTACATAGAGATTTTATGATAAAGATCAAAAGACAGCAAAAGTGCTTTAATAGAATGTAGATGCTCTCATACAGTCACGAGAAAAACAAGAGCAAAAAAATTTTGCAAATCTTTCAAATTACTAGATCCCAGAGCAGTTCTTATCAGGCTACAGATGGTTCTGTGGCCCTGTGTTCACAAGTCCAAAGCCATTCTTGTCCGTTAGCACTCTGATCACAAGCAGATCTCATTGTGTCATAAAAAGCTGGAGGCTGACACCCTCTTTTTCCATAAAGCCCCTTACTCTGCCTTTGGACTGCTTCTGCAATTTTGAATTCTTAATTCTTAATTAAAGAATTAAATTCTTTAATTCTTAATTAAAATTCTTAATTTTGCCTTCTGCAAAGCAGCCTGGAGTAATGCGTTACGTTTCCTAAGCAACTCCGTGTAAGGCTGTTGCTCCCTCGGAAACAGGTCTGCATTTAGTAGCCCTTCTCTTACTGGTGGATGATTTTAAGAAAAGCAGTGCAAACAGTGTCTGAGGAAACTTTTAGATGACCTGATTTGAGCGACCAGCAAATAGTGCTGTGGTTTCAGCAACCTTTAAGTCTCCGAGTAATATGAAAATTATTGCTGCAGGAAGTGGAGGTAGCGTCTACATAGGGGCAGTTTCCATTCTCTCCTTGCAGGGCTGAGGTGAGCTCTGCCTGCCACTCCACTGCCTTCCCGCCGTGTCAGGGCTGGCTGGCAGATCCATGGGTACAAAGTTGGAGAAGCCTTGAGAGTTGGATTTAGAAACGTCTATAGTCTCGATAAATCCCACATCTCTTCTCTATGCTCAGGCTTTCCATTCCTACCACGTCCCAGTCAGCGCGAGTTCTTCAACCCATGATTTATTTCCAGTTGGTGCTCTTCTTGTTCCAGCAGGAATCCCTACAAAAGGGATAGGAAGCTGGAAACTCAGACCCCGGGCATAGTTCCCACACGTGTGCTTGTTCCTGCACTAAACGTGACACACACACCTCCACGGGGGACTGTCAGGGGTTCCTCCGGGGACCTCCCCAGAGGTCCTGGGGTCAACAAGGCAAGGCAGAGAGGTCTCGGTGGGTGTGAACAGCCCTCAGCCCTGCTAGAGAGGGAAAAACTCCTGCAGCTGCTTTTGCCAGAGCCCTGCAGCCAAGCTGCCAGGCTGATGCTGTGCCACGTGTGAGACGGTTTCTACGTCACCGCCTCCTCTTCCCCTCTCTGAATGAGGGGGGCCACCAGTCCTGGAGACCTGCCTTGTAGGGAGTGCTCTGCTGTTCGCCCCGCTCAGGTCTGAGAACATCAAACCTCCGAAGTTGGGTGCAGCACAGCTGAGTGCTACAGTCACTGCAGTTTCGGAACCCTAAAGCCTCTAGGTCCAGGGGGTCCCTGTAACCACGCTTTGCAGAGAGTTTTCAGTCAGCGCTAGCAGAAACAGGATTATTGCACGGGACATAAGCAGCTGCCAGATAAAATTAAACGTAGTGGCTGCTATTAGCATTTCGGTGAGACAGGACAGTTTTTCAGAAAATGTGAGTTCATCAAATGATAGAATTACATTTATCCCACTTAATAGTAGAATTGCCAGAAAAGCAGTCTCTTCTGTTTTCTCTGCTAATTTTAGTTTATAACTGCAGTGAGTCAACAAGGTATTCCACTTGCAAGTCCTTTCAACAAGCCTATGTCTGAATGTCAAGGTTACAGCCCTATGGCCTCCGTTTCTGTTCCCACCGCTTCTTTTACCTGGACATAGAAGGAAATATCTAACCACATGCTATCTTAAAGGAGAAAGTATCTGCTCCTACAGGCTACTTCTGACCTGTTGGTTGGTGGGACCATACAGCGTAAACCAATTCTTTTCCTTCCCTCTTCCCACCACTCACATTGCTGATCTCTCCTATCATCCCCAAAATATAAAACATCATACTTTCCAGAAGCAGTTCTGTTTTCTGCCTTTACATTTGCTGGTCCTGAGATTCTGGTAAGGCAGACTAGAGAAAGCTCAGGAACAGAAATTTAAAATACATATATGATACAGTCTATAAGGCTGCATATAGAATATACAGGCTTCAGAATATAGGAATAAAATGCAACTTAATAACCTCGGATGCTTAAGTAGTCTTCTGTGTTTTCTTTCCCAGTCCAAATACTGACTTTTCTGGAAGTGCCTTTACTTTAATTTGATACTGAGAATTTATAATTCACATGGTGAAAATGCCTTCCTTCTGGGGACAGAGGCACTTCTTTCATTGAAACTGGTCTTAAGCAGCACACCTGCTTTGATTCTGATTGAAATAAACTCAGTTCAGTGAGCCTCCGTAACATACAAAATTGGTGTCTTTGGGAAGTGCCAGTGATTTTGCAGTGGATCATGCTCTTTGTTCATCTATCTGTAACTGGTGGAAGTAGAATTTCTTTCAATCACTCTGGATTCACATACTCCCACTGCAGTACTACTCTAATGACAATACAATCCTGTACCTGCTACTTAACGATGCTGCAGAATGTGTGCATGTTGGAGAGATCCCCTGTTCCCCAAAGAGATGAGGATGTATCATTTTGGAGAGGCAAAATTCAAATGTGGGCAAAAAAAATGAGGATCCTCATGTCTAACGACCTCTGAATAGAAATGATTTGGTGACTAAAGACTTAATTTGAATGACTGCTGGCTTTGAGATTGGTATCTCTCTGACATCTCTTCTATTTTTCAGGTTAACCATGCACGGCTGGAAAATAACTGAAACTGGGATATTTGCAAGGAAGGGATCTGTTTAATGAGTTATTATACAACTTACAAATGAACCTATGAGAAAAATAACAGTTGTGCTGAACTTCAAGGAATCACGCATAACTAGACATTTAAGCCATCCCATCTCTGTTTAAAAATGTTCCAATCAGTTATTGAAATGCTTATTTAACACAGTCCTGTGTGAGCGTGACACTGTCACTCTTGGGTAATTCCCTCCCTTTGCTGCTTACTGTGTACAGGTATGATATGTCTTCAGCACCTGATCCTGAACACTAATTTCAGAAGAACAAGCTGAAAGTGTGTGTCCATGTGCAAATACAGCTGACTGGCACACCAGTCACTTGTGCTTCCTGAAAGCTGATGATCTCAGTCAGACCTTTCTTTTAACAACAAAAATCCCTTAAAACTTCCAACATGGGGAAATCTGTTGATAACAGAAAATAGCTTAGTTCAGCGTAGACAAATATAAAACAAAATCTGTAGTTGTCTACAAGTGCAATTTGATCAAGACAGCTCTTGGTTATCTCAGAATCCCAGACAGAACATCCAAGTTACAGTAGCTAAGAGCCCCAAACTGTCTTACACCTCCTCCTCTACTCCCTCTATCAAAAAGTCTCTTCCCAGGAGCTTATAAAGGGAACTTTTCACATTGCAGGTCTTTGAGGTTCGTTACATTCCTCGTCGTAGTCTATCAAAATAAATTATTTATGTAAGTCATAATGACCTGTCCAGCTTCTGAAATGCAGAGCGTGAGTTCTGACTTAATTTGCACCAGTGTAAAGCAGGGCTAACCTGCGTGCAGTTAGCTGTGGAAGCACTTGGGTGGGAAGCTGCCATCAGTGGGACCTGATTCAGGACTAGTGTCCCTCCACACAGGATCTCAAAAAGTAATTCAGTGACACAACCTGTCACCTTTAGCATCATGTGTATATATTGGTCACTTTCCAGGCACTTCTTACCAGCCTGCTACATCATTTACAGTTGGACTTGATGATCTTAAGGGTCTTTTCCAACCTAAACGATGACTCTATCATCGTTAGCAGGTAAGATGCAAGTGGTAGAGAAATGTAAATGTCTCTGTTGGTGTCCTTTCAGTAACCAGCCAACCGAAGGCTCCAACAGAAATTCCAGCTGATCTCCCTGAGGCAAACGAAGTTACTGCCCCCAGCTCTCTGCTCTACCCACCTGCTGTAGATTTTTGCAAACACAGTGCAACTGTGAGAAGCTCACGCAGACCTCTCACACCCACTCCGGGAACGGAGCAGCTGAAATGTTGTGCTGATGATGCCTGGGAAGCTTCAGCACAGGGGTACCAGCAAATGGTGGCAGCTCTCACGTCCCCCCCCCTGCCACCGCTGCCTCCTCAGAACACTGTCATCCTGCGCTTTGTGATCAGTAAATGCTACACTCTCCAGTGGCAGGACATTTTCTGCACAGACAAAACACTGCTTCCACGGGGTGCAAAAAAACCCTGAACGTGCACTTTTCCTCAGATGGCTGTGCACTAGGTGTGCAGATAATGCAAATGGGCACAAATCATCCTACTGGTGGGTGCCTGTTGATTTTCTGAACAAGCTCAAATCTTAGCATGAACAAACCTGGTAAACATCAACATGAAAGACCACACGAAAAGCTGGAGGAGTAGGATAGGCTTTTTAAGTTCCTTCCTTCCTTTAGTAAGTACTGAAGTTTCCATCACTCCAGTCACAGGAAGTGTTGATGTCAGTGATGGCCAGAGACTGGCCACAGTGCAAACTGAATATATTTCTTTACTTAAAAACACATAAGATTAATCACCCAGGTGCAGAAATAAAAAGAGGTAAGAGGGACAAATGGGGGCTTAAGGTGTGGTCAGAACACTGTCTCATAGGGAAATGTACTGAAATAGTCAATACAAAGTTCAGTGAAGCATTTCTGGAGAAACCAGAGCCCTGATTTGTCTGCAGACGTGCTGGCTGGCTGATGTTTCTGGCTGCTGCATATCCTCAAGGCCATGTGCTGAGAAGAAAGAAAACACGAAAGAGATCCTTATTTATCAGAAGATCAGCACAGATCTATCCCACTGAACCTTCAGCTTCATCAGTCAGCACTCGTATACTCCACTGCAGGTGATTTGTAAACTGGACTAAGCACATTCCTCTTCTGTCCTAGCAGTGAACACCCAGAAGCATGTTTTAGAAGCGGAGACAAATCCTCTTCTCTCCAACTTAGGCTTCCAGATGGTCTGAGACAGTGTGGCCACAGTAAGCCTGCCATGTATCCAAAGTGACCGTATGATGGTTATGTCTTAACTGTCAACATCAAGTGAAGATTTAAGTCGTCGCTTCAGGGAAGCTGGAAACAGATCCAGCGCCTGGGCAAAGAGCATGCTGATGTAGAAATAGTGGAAGCATCCAAGTAGGCACATTCAGAGTGATTCCGTATCTGGAAACTGAAAAAATACAGGAAGAAAACAGTGATTACTAAATAATTTCTACTACTGAGCCAAATATTTTAGCCTGCTGTAAAACAAAATTTCTACTGAAGTAGTTTCCAGTTGACTTTGGTCCCTTGTGATATGGTAGTTTCAGCTGCTAAAAGCAAGGTGAGTGAAATGTCATGTTAGAAAAGCCTGTTTAGCTCATGCAGTGTTGCATGAATCTCTATGAATGGTCCGTACCAGGTATCATACAGTAACAGGAGGAAAGATAAAAGACAATTTATGATATATCCTGCCTAGAATTACTGAGGTCATAAATACTACAGACAGCAAGACAAGGGGAACTGCTGTTTCACGGGCTTGATGCAGAACTGTTGTAGCCCCCATATTTTTTATATAAATAGGGGGAAAATCTGGGTTGTGTGCAGGTTGTAACAAGCTCACTAAAGCAGATGCAACTTATTCTTATGAAGTTGCTTAATTCATCTGAAGATGATTATTCCCTCATACATGTCCCTTCATTCTCTTTCATCCCTAAAAAATGTATTTGCTAGATACTGTGTATTTGAGGAAGACAAGCACTAGAAAACAAAAATTCTGAAGATTTGAAAAGAGACTGAAATGTCTATAATATGTACTAAAAACTATGTATAAATTAAGGTAAATAGAGATGATCAATTACATTATCTTGATTTGCTGCTCTACCAAAAAAACCTTGAATTAGGGACTCCTCTACATCGATGCTATTGGAGTTAGATCGGTAATAACTGCAAAGAGCTCATTTTCAAAGTCATAGTTATAAATCACAGGAAAAAAAAGGAATCCTGATAGAAATAACATTGTGCTGTAAACTCTCATTCTACATTTGCTTTAGAATTAAATCTGGACAGGGATGTCAAGAGCAACAAGAAAAGCTTCTGTAGGTACACTGGTGATAAAAGGAAGACTAGGGAAAATGCGGGCCCTCTCTGTAAGAAACAGGAGACCTGGTTACCTGGGAGATGGAGAAGGCTGAGGTACTCAATGACTTTTTTGACTCGGTCTTCACCAGCAAGTGCTCCAGCCACACTGCCCAAGTCACAGAAGGCAAAGACAGGGACTGGGAGAGTGAAGAACCACCCACCGTATGAGAAGCTCACGTTCAAGACCATCTAAGGAACCTGAAAGTGCACAAGTCCATGGGACCTGATAAGATGCATCCGTGGGTCCTGAGGGAACTGGCAGATGAAGGGGCTAAACCATTATCCATCATATTTGAGAAGTCGTGGCAGTCCGGTGTTCCCACTGACTGGAAAAGGGGAAACATAACCCCCATTTTTAAAAAGGGCAAAAAAGTGGACTTGGGGAACTACAGACCAGTCAGTCTCACCACTGTGCCTGGAAAGATCATGGAGTGTATCCCCCTGGAAACTATGTTAGGGCACATGAAAAATAAGGAGATGACTGGTGACAGCCAACATGGCTTCACTAAGGGAAAATCGTGCCTGACAAATTTGGTGGCCTTCTAGAACTGGGTTAAAGTGTTGGTGGGTAAAGGAAGAGCAACTGGTGTCATCTACCTGGACTCATGCAAAGCATCTGACACTGTCCCACACGACATCCTTGTCTCTAAATCGGAGAGACATGGATTCGATGGATGGACCACTCGGTGGACAAGGAATTGGCTGGATGGTCGCACTCAAAGAGTTGATGTCAACTCCTTGATGTCCAAGTAGAGAGGACTGATGAGTGGCAGTCCTCAGGGGTCAGCGTTGGGACCAGTGATGTTTAACATCTTTCACCTTTTCCGGCAACACAGAGAGTGGGATTGAGTGCACGCTCAGCAAGTTTGCTGATGACACCGAGCTGTGTGGTGTGGTCAACACACGGGAGGGCAGGGATGCCATCCAGAGGGACCTGGACAGGCTTGAGAGGTGGGCCCATGCAAACCTCATGAAGTTCAGCAAGGCCAAGTGCAAGGTCCTTGCACATGGGTCAGGGCAACCCCAAGCACAAATCCAGGCTGGGTGATGAGTGGATGGAGAGCAGCCCTGTGGAGAAGGACTCTGGGGTGTTGGTTAACGAGAAGCTCAACATGACTTGGCAATGTGCATCTGCAGCTCAGAAAGGCAACTGTATCCTGGGCTGCAATAAGAGAAGTGTGGCCAACAGGTTGAGGGACGGGATTCTCCTGTTCTACTCCACTCTTGTGAGACCCCACCAGTGTCCAGCTCTGGGGCCCCCAACAAAAGAAGGGCATGAACCTGCTGGAGCGAGTCCAGAGGAGGCCATGAAGATGATCGGGGGGCTGGAGCACCTCTCCTGTGAGGGCAGGCTGAGAGAGCTGGGGATGTTCAGCCTAAATAGAAGGCTCCAGGGAGACCTTACAATGGCTTTCCAGTAGCTATAGGGGGCCTACAGAAAAGATGGGGAGGGACTCTTTGGCAGGGCATGTAGTGACAGGACAAGAGTAACAGTTTTAAAGTAAAAGGGTAGATTTAGATTAGATATAAGGAAGAAATTCTTAACTGTGAGGGTGTTGAGGCGCTGGCCCAGGGTGCCCAGAGCAGCTGTGGCTGCCCCCTCCCTGGAAGGGTTCAAGGCCAGGTTGGACGGGGCTCTGAGCAACCTGCTCTAGTGGAAGGTGTCCCTGCCCATGGCAGGATGGGTTGGAACAAGATGATTTTATGAGCCCTTCCAACCCAAACCATTCTGTGATTTGATGGTTCTATGATGCACGTTAGAAAATCAGAAGGAACTTACGAGTCCTCCTTCAAGGCAATGCCATTCTCCCAGTAGAAGGTTTCACCTTTCTTGCGCAATCCAATCCAGGAGTCATCTATATTCAAACGTTTAGCTAAAGAATTCTAAAAAAAAAAAAAAAAAACAAAAAACAAAACAAAATGCATTTTTGATTTTTGTCAACATGAGCTCTTACAATGAGAAGCAAATTCCTGCGGCAACTTTTGAGAACTAGTTCATCACTCTGTCATCTAGAACACGTTTCTAATGATTTCACTGAGAGTTAAGAGCCTAATTCTGCCTTTGATTTGACCCTTATAGTATCATAAAGTTTAGTGAAGTTATTGAATTCTATACCCTTGAAAATTATTACTGTTCACTACATACAAAAATATCCAAATATCATGTATTGGTTTTGTCTGTACATATATGTTTATCAAACTCTACATATGCAACTTGGTCTAAATAAGCTGGTACATACAGGTTTTTCCTGCATTTCAGGTGAGCATATGGGAACTCCTCCCCTTCCCAATTATTATTTAAGTAATTTAAAGTTTTTTATCTGTGGATGTACACATAAAAAGAGTAGAAGACAGTTCACTGCTCCACAGGTTTACAACAACCTGTATCAAACACATCAAAGAACGATGGAAGATAACAGACACAGCACTTGCAGTGGGTTAATATTATAGAACTCCCTGAAACAAGGTGGCTATCATTAGACTCAGTGAACTTAAAAATCAGAGAAATATTAGCTGTCAGCACGGACTCTAATGGACATGGAAAGGAGTGCACCCTTATATTTCTCCACTCTCCTCCAGCAACTTCAATTCAGTACAGTTCAGAAGGAATTGTCTCATTCCTGCAGTTTTTGGTGTACCTTCTTCCAGTGTGGGCTCATGCTACCCAGTGCTGGAGACCAGCCAACGCATACCAGAGTATAAATCTGGCCCGGTAAGCCAATGCCAGTGTTCCTGTGCTCTTCTTTCATAAATCGTGTTTACAGTTTGTAGGTATAAAGTTTTTAAGCAGCAGTATGAATAACACCAATTTCTGCCTAGCTAATTATCAGCTGAGTATCACAGGAGCTGAACTAGAAGTGAACCTTTTAGATGCATAAGGAAGAGCGGCATTTACAAATTTGGTAAGAGGTGATCACTCACAGGGCAGCCATGCAGAAGGGGCTTGTGGAGAGGGGGCAAGCTGGCAAATATGGTTGGAATTATTGGCAAAGAAATGGGTCAGATGATGGGATAAAATGAGAGACCACATTCAGTAAGGGGCTCATCATGAAGAAAGAAATAAGCCTTGCATCCTTCTCATTGTTGAAATTATTGTAGCTGTAAAAATATTTATAGCTCAAGTCAAATTCAGATGTGACTTAATCTGTGTAATTTCACTGAGGTTTCCTCCATTTCAATATCTGCTACACCATTAATATGTACCAGCCAAACAGAAAAGTAGCCTTTTGACCTCTATTCAACAATCACAGTAACAAGAAAGCTCAGATGTCAATCTATCTAAAAACTGACTTTTTGGTTAGACTAGTTTCTCATTGACAATACTCAAAAGACAGATCTGTAAAAGCATATTACAGTTTTAGTAGCATGCAGTAGCAAGATGTCACTAGCATTGGTCAACTCAGTGCAAGCGGACCATAATACTGGCAAACCAAAGTATTTTAACAAACCTATTAGCATGAGAACATGTCCAAAACAGCTTCAGTGGGGGTATATTCCCACCACTGGTATAAGCATGCATGTCCAAGAGGCATTAAGGCATATCTGAAAACAGATGCAAGCTGATAAAGATGGATAATTTCCACTACACTGAGAAATAGTTTTAAATGTTTGGTTTCTTGTAGGAACCAAAGTAACAATTCATTTGTCTGTACTGGATGTTGGACAGAATCATACCTGCTTTGAAGATTAAGGTCCATAGGACAGAAAAGTAAAAGTACGCAAACCGATTCACAACAAAGAACTTTTCACAGTCATTCAAGGCAAATCCAGGCACCAAAGCAGTGTGGGGCAGCTGGTACTGCTGCTGCACCTGCGGCAGCCAGCCACCTCCTTCCAGTGGCAGAGCTGGCACTTCCCACTACCTGGAGTCACCCAGCTTACTTATTTTAGAGACATTCAAAGGATAAGCATTGCATGCCAAAAAAAAAAAAAAAAAAAAAAAAAAAAAAAAGGAAGTTTTGTCAAGGAAAGAGAGATACAGAAGTTGTGTTCTGTTTTGTTGTTTTTTTTTTTTTCCCCATTACCATTTCTTCCTGGTTTTCAAAAATGGCCAGCAAGGATTGATTCTTAGCGCAGAAGGTCTGACTAGATGTCCAGTTTTTTTCTTCCTCTGAGATGAAGTAACATTTCTTTTTATAACCTATCCACTCGCTGGGACACTGTTCAAGAGGAAATTTTCTGTGGTGAGATATCTCATGTTTTACAGCTACAAAGGAAAACAAAGAACAAAATTTCTACTGAGTAAATAAAATCTTAGCATTTCTCAGCACAACTCAATCTAAAATGTAGGTTTTTTGGAAGCCAATGTCACACTAGATGCCAGAAGAGAAGCCAAAGGAAGGGCAAAGGTCCTAACCTTGCCTGCCTTCCAGGCACTGTCTTCAGCTGAGAAACATGAAAGTTGGGGACTGCAGCCTAATTATTACGATCAGAAGAAAACAAGTAGTGTTTGGAAAACACTGCTGAATTTTAGAGAACTACAGGCATTGACAATTGACTATTTATACTCAACCCATTTTAAATCCAGTGATAGGGTAATAAACCTCACACTGTTAGTTTATTGATCAAATTCATTTTAAGTAATGAAGTTGCCTGAATATCTACAACTGGTGAGATATCTCACGAAGACCAATTGCTTTGATTTTGTATCAGACCTTTAAGTGTTTGATAAATCTGTGTGAAGGTAAGTAAATTAGGTGTTGATATGATGCTCATGAAATCTGTCTGTTCACAGAGAGGTAAAAAATATTATTATTTGGAGATAATGGTTTGGAGAATGGTTCATTGGAGTTGTTCCCCTGCACATTTTGATGCCCTCTGTTCAACTTTCTGTCACAGTAGCTCTGTGGGGGTGACAGGACTCACTGGCATGTTTCGTTTCAGTGCAGAGTTTAATTTCTTGCCATGAAGAGAATTAATTTGCATTTGCTTTGGTTTATATTTTCCAAACAAAAATAATCTGCGGTTACAGTGACCTTTTCTGTGCAGCATGGTGTCTTTTGTAACACACCCAGGCTCATGCAGTATATAAAGTGTATTTCCTGGGTCATCCTGCTGGGATCAAATCCAGACCTTCTGCACCCAAAGTCCACTTAGCCACTGCTTAAGGTTGGAGATGGCTAATATTGAAATGAAATTTCATTATGTGAGTCGAGGGGCTTGCAGAAAGTGAATTTATCTCCCAGATTCTGCAGCCTGCTGTTACCACACTTGTTCTCTTTTCCTTTCTAATCAGCTACTCTCCTTGCTATGTATAATTGAAGACCCCTTAGCAAGTCACCCGTGAGCACTGTCCTCAGCCCCTCCAAGAAAATGTGACTGATTCCATTTAAATAAACGCCTAACAAAGCAAAGGAAAATCAACAGGAACAGATGTCATTACCATCCTCCATTTGTTTCCATGCACGTGCAGAGGACCTCCCTACTGTACCTTGTGCTGTTGCAGGGGGAAGACCGAAGCTGTATTTCACACAGACATTCAAGAGCTCCCTGTGCAGATGGGGCTGCATGCACATGCACCCAGTGGCTTGGATACCTCAGGCAATACTGCAGGCAGCACAGCCTTTGCTCCTATAGAATAGTTCCACGTGTGACAGCAGGAGCACATCTGGCCTCTGCAGTGCCAGTGGGAGGTAGGGCTGACCTCTTAAAAATACAGCATGTAACACAAACGGATTTTTAAAAACAGAAAGGCAGAATGATCCCCAAAGACTACGTGTGAGAAAGATAAGCTACCTGTATAACGTAGCTGTCTTCCACATGTGACAATAAAGGAGCCCTCAAGACCAGATATACAAGCAGCCCACACAGTAAGTCTGCAGTCTATGCCTGGAGATGCGATGCTGACTTCGTGCACCAGCTGGCATAACCAGGTAAGTTACTGGTGATAAGCACAGACAAGACATGCATACACCACGTGCATGGCCAGGCAAGAAACTACACTCGAGAGTAGTAAGGAAGCAGCAAAAAGAAAAAAAAAAAGTTTACAGCTGAATCATCTGGATTTTATCTGTAGGGAGAATTCTCTCTCCTTTTAAATTCTCCCTGGAGGTTATTCAACCTTATACTGACATCAAAACAACTGAAATAGTGATGGAAGCCCCCGGTCTTGTCACTCTACGGGCACTGCAGAAGGCTAATGTTGCTGTACTCGACTGCTGCGATCCTGGAGCCCAGTAGTCAGAGGAAAGATATCTCAGATGGAAGAGGTTCCAAAAGCTTACCAAATGTAATGATGATCACCAGCAGAAATCCAAAAATTAGGCATAGCCAAAAGACTGTGAAAAAGAAGAACATTAATGGTTTTCTATATCTGAGCACTTGGGCTCAGATTGTATTTCAGCATTAGGTGAGAGCAGCAGGATAGCCTTTCATTTAAGCTCCAAGTATGTAAATACAAAGAACTACTGAAGTCAAACAGGGCGTCCTGAATTAACATTTATGTAACTGGACAGTTCGATAAAATGGCCAACAATCCCCTAATTCACATTTTTTTTGATTTGGATACACCCTACAGTTTTTCACAGATGTGCAGATCCATGTACAGCAAATTTAAGGCTTCCAGTCCCAAGTTTATCATCTCCTCTATATTTTGCAGATCCCTTAGCAATAACCTCTGGAGGCTGAGAATTCATAGGTCATCACTAACGCCAATCAAGCCACATTCATGTTCGGAAAAGAGGAGAATGTTCTCATGAAATTCAAACATTAAAGGTTGAGGTTCAGATTATGGCTGCAGTCTTGAATTAAATGTATCTTCTTCTTGCCACAAGCTGTCTGTCCTTCACACACAAATGTCAATGCAGATATACAAGCTCATCTGTTGCAAAGGTACAAACTACTTTCTCTAATGGGGTTTGGCTTCATGTCCTACATCTTATCCAAGAGTATTTCATTCAGGTAAACTACCACACAGAAAAATGTCTTGTTCTCACACAAAAGGATCAAACATAAATAGTTCACACTTCCATCAAACATAACAGTTATCTTAATTTTTGTGACTACAGCTTTGCCTAGAAGTAAACTCCAAGGTTTTGTCCTGGCCAAGCCACGGGACCAGGAACTAGATTTGGACGTATACTTCAGACTTCCTTCAGGAAGACGTCTCACTTAAAACCAAAGGAAAAAAAATCTTACGTTTTGACTGCAGGAAACACTCTTTACAGCACCTCTCTATCCTTTGCACCCGGGAACTAACTGCCTCTTCGTGTTCAGCATCTTGTTTGGCACTAGTGGGGTCTGTGTTCCCAACAACTGCTTGTGCCTCCTGGTTGGTCTTAGGCTCCTGTTCATCTTCAGACCCCATCTACAGATGGGAAACAAAGAAAGAAGCTACATTTAACAAGTGCTTCCCCTACTGCCTACAAACAAGTGGAAACAGTAGAAATCCCAAAGCTGCCTTAGCTGTTGCCTGTAGCTGAGGGGATGAGGGCAAGGGGGACAGATAAAGGAGGAAACAAATAGAAATAAGGAGCTTGTGCAATATACCCAAGGCCCACTGAAAGGAGAAAGTGGGCCTCAGATACATTGCACATATCCTCCTTCCCAGGGAGGGGGGCGATGGGGAATAAGCACTGTAATTGAGGGGAAGGACAGAGATGATGGGAACAATGTGACAGGGAAGGGATGGGCCCTACCAAGGCAGGAGGTAAAGGCCACAAAACCCAGCGGTTTCCACTTCACCACTATGTAGCTTAAATTAGTTTTGTCCGCATGTAAAAAGTTGTGGCATTTTCCCAAGTGAGACTGAGCCTGGTCTGCAGACGGAAGTTCACTGTACCTTCTTGTGCTCACTCTGAGTGGTGTCTTCTTCGCAGTTTTTTCTCAAATCCCACTTTCAGTTACATAAATTTAACAGAAAAAGTCACCCAAAGAATAGGCAAATGTAAACATTACTGTGTCAGTGCAGAAATGTCAATTCATCTTCATGAGTTAGGTTATAAAAGGAAAAAAAAAAAAAACCAAAACTTTCCTCTTTAGTAATGGCTTCAACATATTTCTTTTCATTGTTACTATTATTTATGTTACTTGGCACATGCCTCAGAGGCCTCCTCAACTCCACAAATTCATACGAGTAATTAGGTCCCTAAAGAACCAGACTCCACTTGTGCTTGGTCCATCCAACAAAAGAAGAAAGAAATTAACGCTTCGAATTACGATCTCCAGTAAGGTGCTCTTTCCCCAAAGACTCTTCTGAATGCCCCAAACACATCTCCAAAACACGCTGTCCATTTTAGTGCCTGGATATTCATTGTTCAGTGCATAAATACATGCCAGCTCGTCAGCTGGGCCTCTTGCCTCCAGCGAGCATGCTACACTTCCTTACTGCGCTGGAGAAGCACCGGCTCCGATGCCAGCCACTGAGGAATTTCTCCTTGAACATTCTTGTCCACTCTAGGGAAAAAGCCTCTTCCCCAGCCCTGGCTTTTGGGGTGTAACAGTGAGCAACGTAGCCAGCTGGGGTTCAGGTGAGCCACCACGCTCTGCAACACAAGGCATTTCTTGAAGGCAGAGGCTGGCAAAAAAAAAAACTTTGGAAGACTGAAGAAAAAACAGGCAGCCAGCAAAATTTCATCGAGCCACAAAAAATACTGCCACTTCTGAGAGCCTGAATTTAGCTAACGAGATCTGCTCTCACTTTTGGGGACGAGCTTTTTACTTTGGAGGAAGCCCCAGGAGCTCTTTGCTCTAGGCCGCAAAGCGACTGCAGGTGACCCGCGGGGCCGCCGCCTGCCCCCCGCCCCCACCTGAGCGGACCCGCTTCCCTCCTCCTCAGCCGTCATCCCCCCGCTCCTCAGTCCCCACCTCCCCTCGGCTTCGGCGCTGCCGGGGGCTGCCCGGGGCCGCCGGGATGAGCCCCGGCAGGCGCAGCACCCCACTTCCCAAGGTCCCCCCCCCGCCTCCCGGGGCCCCCCACTTCCCGCGGCCCCCCACTTCCCGCTGCCCCCCACTTCCCGCGGCCCCCCACTTCCCGCGGCTCCCCACCTCCCGCCGGCGCCGCGGGTGGGGGGGGGCGTCCCCGGTGGCCACCGGCTGCGGGCGGTGAAACGGCGGCCCCGGTGGCCGGCCGGTCCGCGGGCACGCCGCCGGCCTCCGCCAGCCCGCCCGGAGCCTTCCCGCTGCTTCCGCGCCCGCTTAGCCCTTCTCTGCCCCGTTTGCCTGCGCGGGCCCCCCCCACCTCGAAGCGCCTCCCGGGAGCGAAACCGACGGGGCGGCGGTCGGCTTCCGCCCCGCGCCGGCGATGGCGGAGGCAGGCGGCGGCGAGGCTCGGCTCTCCCCGTCCTGGCGCCGGGACGAGCTGCGGCGGCTGCGGCGGCTGCGGCGGCGGTTCTCCTCCGACCCGCTGCTGGCCCGGCTGCCGCCCGGGCACGGGTCCCCCGCGGCCCGCCCGCCGGCGGTGCGGCGGGGGCGGACGCCGGAGGGAGAGCTGCTGCTCGGGGAGGCGGCGACACGCCGGGGACGCGCAGCGCTGCCCGGTGAGTCAGACGGGCCGGGCCGGGGCTGCGGTGGGGCCACGGCCGGCCCCGGGAGGAGGGGGGGGGGGGGACGGGACACCGGGGGGGGCAGTGGGCTGGCGGGGCCCGGGCACCGCCCGTCCCCGCACGGCGGCACCGTGGGCACGAGCTGCGTCCTGCGGGTATTTCCGTGGGATTTGGTAACTTTGGAAGATCTCGTCGGGTTTTAGAAGTTCTGAATGACTGAGGAAGCCGCTCGTTTCCGGCGTAGGTGAAATTTTTTTGAGAACTCTTAATGGGGCTAATGTATCTCTGCGTGGGGTTTTTTGACCTGACTCTTCAGATCCTTATGTGCGCTTTACTCCCTGACGTGCATTAATCTTTCGCTCTCCTTAGATACGTGTTCACACCTCTCCTTCTGGAAAAGAATTGCGGGAATTGTCATCGCTGTTGCTGTGATTTTACTCTTAATATGGATTACCTTAAGTGAGTGCATTTATTTAAAGAAACCTAGCTCTTGAAAGAGAAATGCAGTACTTCTCTCTTTCGTGATTCTGTCTCTGTTGCTGAGGGGGAAGAGGTATTTCCACTGATTTTCAGCTTCCTCCCACACTTGTTATGGCTGCTGTTACTGAGAGATAGAATCCAGAAAAGTGAAACTAAATTGTGTTACCGGTTGTCCTTAGCCAGTTGCTTCTGGTAGCACTAAACTGACTTTTTTTTTAAAAAATTTTCTGCAAGTTTTCATTATGCTTGTGAGAAACAAGCCCACGTATATATAAAAAAAAGTTTTATTGGGGACAAAGTCAGTGGAGCAAAGAATACAGCGCTGGGCGCAATGGCGCGCCCTGGAGCCAAAAGGGGCTCCCTTTTATTGTATAAATGGTTACATATTCATCTACTCTAATACATATGCATCACTACTTCTAAGGATAGGGAGGGAATATTACAATTAGTTCCGAGAAATCATTAACATATCCCCCCAACCCAAATTCCTCCCGTCGCGCCTGCGCAGTGCTCCCTGGGGGTCGTGGGCAGGGGGCTGCAGATGAAGGCCCGTAGTCTTCTTCACTGTGTTCGCTCGTTGACCCTTATTTCTGCGCAAACTCAGTCCTGTGGTCACGTACACCTTGTCCTTCAGGTCTGGGCTAATTTGTAGCTCTTTTGTCTTTCTGGCTCAGTGGCTCCAGTTCCTCTCTTATCTCAAGAACAGGAGATAACAGAGAGGGCCCATCATGTTCTTTGCCATTCCATTGCAAAGGAGTTACCATCCTTTGATATGGACCATCTGGTGAGCATTCCAAAGGAAAAAGGGGGGGCTGTTGGGTTGGTGTTTCCTCTGATCAATCCCCCCTCTCTTCTCTTTTCCCACTAGTAAATTATTTTACTTTTCTTAAAATTTGTATCATTGTACTAATAACAGCTTCAGCCTAATTCAATAAAAGTAATTGTTTAATTACTTTTAGCGAAAGCAAAATTCTTCTATTATTTATCACATGCTGCAGCATGGCAAAATGCTGAGGAATGACAAAGCCATAAGCAGAGTTAGGGAGGCTGTGTGCTCTGTCAAAGATTGACTTCTGCCCTGATGTTCTCACCCGTGGTGTCTCCAGCGTAGCTGGAGCTTTGCACTCGCGCGTGTGCCCAGCGTGTGAGTGTGTAACCAGGGGTTACTGCACCCACCATAGCTGGTGCAAGTGGAGAAAGCTAAGACTGAGCACAGTCCTTCATTTGCATTATGTTTACCCATCGCCTGCTTAATTCAGTGCCAGCTGCGGATATTTTTTAAGCTAGACGAAGCGGGTCCAGAACGTGTAAATGTGTATCCAGTTGTATTTAAATATGTAATTATGAGTAAGTAAATCTCTCTTCGTTTCTTCATTTCAACAAAAGATCCGCCTAAATTGCCACAGCTGGAGCCATGCCCTGATGACTGGCTGTACTACAAGAAGAAGTGTTACTATCATTCAGGAGCCCTGGCAGATTGGAATTCCAGTCAGGAGTCCTGCTCTCACTACGGAGCTTCCCTTGCAGTGATTGACAGCCACCAAGAGCTGGTAAGGTGCCCAGAGCCTTGAATTTGCTTGCTGGAACTCCACCACTTCTTCCCTTGTGTAGCTTGAAACCCAGCATACCGTGTGGCAGACTTGTTTGCTGCCAGTCGGTACAGCCTACAGACTTTCTCAGTGCGGTCTGTTCACTAAAATCTGCTGTACAAATTCTGTTGTTACCTCAGAGCATAGTTCAGACATTTAAAAGGCAAGCTACATATAAAGTCTGACGGAATATAAAAATGGAGTTGTGACTCCTAATTACTAGTAAAGTCTTTGTTGTGGTTTGGGCCTGATCAGCAACCAACCCCCGCAGCTGGTCACCCTCCCTTCCCCCTCCCCACCTGGGAATGGGGGAGGGATTAGAGGGGTGAAGGGAGACTCGCAGGCTGAGACAGGAACAGTTTAATAATGGCAATAAAACGAGAACAATAACGATGATAGGGGGAAAACAAATATATAAACAGGCAATGTACAGCGTAATTGCTCCCCACCCGCTGACCAATCCCCAGCCCGTTCCCGGCCAGCGACCCCGAGATACCAAGATCCCACAATCACAATCCCAGAAGCGAGAGAGACCCCCTTCCCAACCACCCCTCCTCTATACAGTGAGCATGATGTTCCATGATATGGAATATTTCACTGGCCAGTTAGGGTCAGGTGCTCTGTCCGTGCTCCCTCCCTGCTCCCTGTGCCCTTGCGCACGGGCAGGACATGGGGAGTCGGAGAGTCCTTGAAGTCTCAGTAGCAGCTGAAAACATCAGTGTACTGTCAGCAATCTTCTCCTACCAAACCCAAAGCTAAATCCAAAACACAGCACTCATCTAGTCCCTGAAAAGGAGTATTAACTCTATTTCAGCCCAAACTAAGACAGTCTTTTTACTATGTTCTTTAAGTCCCCTGTAGTGTCCTACCAATTGAGGGTGTTCTATATTTCTAAGAAAAACAGAAGAAAATAGCACTATACCAAATGTGTTTTCAGAGATGATTATAGGATCATAAGGAAAGAATCGAGAAAGACTTTGTTTTATTTATGCTACAGATGATAAACTCTGTGTGTGCCCCTGAATGTCCTGGAGTTTGAGGTAAGGTAGTCCCGACTGACTTTACGGTCAGGAATATAAGGAATAGGAAAAGGGAACAAACTCACACATTTATGATAGGATTATTGTCGAGAGTAAAAGTGTGAAAATTGGGAAGTTGGGGCATTTAAAATTTGTGACTCGAATTTGATAAAGACACAATGTAACTAACATCCCAGAAATTATGGCAATGTAAGAGTCAAGGCAGCCTGCTCCGAGTCAGGCACTGTGTCCCAGCTAAATGCATGTCCTTGTACTGAAATGCCATTTTCCTGGTGATACAGTGAAACCTTTGTACTAGTTGACTATTGTGTAATGTGATATGGTATTTCTAATGACATGTGTGGATGTTTTTAATGACGGGGTGGGGCAGGGTATAGGTGGATGGTCAGTAACACTGCATGACTACAAACTAAACAGCTTGGACCTCATTGACTATTAGTAATTGATCTAGAGCTTCCTTTAGTATTTCAGCTAATTAAGTTTAGCAGTAAAACATTAGTGACCCGTGGGGGAAAAAAAAAGTCCACCGTTGTATATTCTGTGATGCAGTGTATATCTGTTCAGTTTTTATACAAAAAACTATATAATCATAATAAAAAAATCTAATAGCTGTATGTCATTTTATTCTGTGTTTTGTCTAGAACTTCATAATGTATCGAATACGCATAACGGACTTCTGGATTGGGCTGCACAGGAAAGGAGACAAATTCTTCTGGGTGAACGGAGAATCATTTGACACAAACTTGTGAGTTTTCTTTCAAATATACTGTGCGGGAAGAGAGTCAGCTTTTTTGTCCAAGTACAAAAGTTATTCTGTGTTACATATTCCACTGTAGATAAACTGGTGTATCTTACCAAACAAGGGCTGTCATAACAATGCTAATACTGTGACGATAAAACTAGTTATGTCTCCGGAGAAGTGGGGAAGGGGCATCATTGCCTCCTTTTTCATGTGGTCGCAGAGTGGCTGTTCGGTTATGCCTGGAGTAACTTGTTTCTGTACGATCCCACTGTATGAGATGGATGTTTCCCTTATTAGGAAGAATTACCAATAGTAGACATTATAAATTGTTTGAATGAGCTTGCCCTGTTGGTTTCGCAGGGTTCAGCACTCAGCCAGTATAGACAGGGCCTCCTAAGAACAACCGAGGCGCTCAGGACCACGTTGGAAGGCCAGGGGGCTGGGGAGTTGTGTCTCAGAAGGCGTGGCTTTTGCTCACTTTGTGTCTCGGAGAGTGGCTTTCTTTGCAGCCACATCCTGTGTATTCTGCAGAGGCTCAGCAAAGTCGGTGGGAAAGTCGGTGGCAGGGCCCCAGTTTCGTGCCGGAGGAGTACTGCTGTCATGGGTCCTGCTGGGATCCTCCCTCTCCTGCTCTGCAGAATTGTGCCTTTTGCGCTGACTACACACTGTAGACTCTGAAGTACAAGTACACGGGGTACATCCCTGTGGGGATCAAAGCAGCTTGGCTTAATAGAAGGAGCATCAGAGCATCACCGTGTGTTTCATGTGCACATGAATTCTGATCCTCCTGCTGAGAGGCGGGGCTTATTTTAAATCATTCTTTACTTTGTTCTCCACAGTCTTAAAGACCCAGTTTTATAAAGAAAAAGAAATAGGTCTTCTATTTTTTAGACCAAATTTCTGCTCTAATTATGATTTCTCTCTTGGCTCTGTAGATTTCATGTCAATATAACAAATGACGGAGACTGCGTCTGTATAGATTCATCCTTCATCTCTACCAGAAGGTGCTCCTCACGGAGGAACTGGCTTTGCACCATTGGTCAGTTTAATCCCAAGACAAATCTTTGACAGGGAGCAGCTGGCTGTGCAAATACGGACTTTCTCCACGAGAAGCTGGAATTCAGAATACTGAAAGTCCTTGCTGCAGGAGGTCCATGGGAGCAAAAGGTGCCACGGTGATGAACATAGCCAAACTTCTCCAGGAGAAGCAATACAGGGAATCATAGTGACTCCAAGTGAAAGAGGTAATTGTTTAAGAAGTGGCTGTACTGAGAGGAAATGATGATTCAGTAGCCAGCCCTGGCAAAGAACAGAAGTTGCTTCTTGGTAATACAGTTTCATTGTTGAAACTGCTGAAGGACATGGCAGTGGATACTTTCCTTGAGAACTCTTCACAATTGCAAAACATAATTTTTTAGGTCAGCTGAAAACATTTTTACAAGGACATGAAGGTCTTTTAAAAATGTAATTCATAATGAACCCAGTGATTTTTATTTTTTTTTTCCCTGTTTTCCGTGGAACTCAGTAATTCTTTGTCTGAGAACTTTCAGTTTGTCTTTGTGGTAAGTCGGTGAGATTTTTATAGTGTAGTCTGACTTCCGTCCCTTTCTTCTTCCGTGGGGTTTTCAAATGTGATTGGTATGTAATGTCTAAATATGTAAATGGGAGCTTTGTAAACCAGGAAGGCAGATAATGACTAGGTCTTCTAGTGAATGGCACTGGTGTTACTGGGCATATTGAGTGGGAGAGGTTACAAATATTCTTCTCTATCCCTCTGGACTGATATGGAAACACGACTGCTACTACCCAAAATTTCCCTGAATATATGGCTGCAACTGGAAAGCTCCCAGACTGAATCATGCACAACTGTTGTTTTGGGAGGGCTGAGGAAGTCAACTGGGTTTAGAAGAGGAGAGACGTGTACGTAGCGTGGAAACGGTTCTAGGGCAGCTTAAGGTGAGGTGCTGCGGTGTTTATCTGTTTGACTGGGTGGGGGAAAAGCTTCTGTTGTCTCCAGCGTGGCTGTTTTATCAACTGACTTGTGTGGGCAAGGATAGTTTTAACAGTCCATGGGACAGATGCACTAGAGCTAAACAGCATAGCGCCCTGGATTAATCTGTTTAAAATCTTTGTATAATGCCCTGCAGATGGGCTGTGGGGGCATGGGAGGCTCACCTGGAAGGTCTGGGGTTGGTTCCTGCCTGATCACTCTCAGATTCAGCAGATACCTGTACAATGACTACTTCCAAAGATACATGATTTACAAAGGGTGGTTACTGTCTTTAAAAATGTGAACTAGAAGAGTGAACTTTTAAGCTAGGAAAATGTTCTAGTCTGGAAACAGAATACCATGTTAAGCTCAGAGAAGCTCACAGGGAAGATGAAGAGTCTGGCTTATTGATCTTCAAACAAATGGGAAGAAGGAATTGCAAATTGCTATAAGTGCACTTGGTATTTATCCATAAGATGTACTTCTTTGGAGAGAAAGAAATATGCGAAAGGAGAAGCTGGAACAGAGTATTTAATATATCTTTGTTCCCCACGGTCGTTCCTCAAGAAAGCACAAGAATGGAAGGAGAAGAACCTTATAAGGAACCGTGGACAGGGTTCAGATTGCCCAGGTAGGGACCCATTTCCCACCATGTGTCAAAAGTCCAGTTGAAAGTGTCAGCGTGAAGTGCCAGACAGGGTGAGAAGTCCGTTTTGCTATGTCTGTAAATTGACTTATAAATACACCAATAAATACTTCTGGTTGCTCCCTGTGATGCTTTGGGTCTCTGCTTTTGGTTGAGCTTGCTCCCCTGCTTTAGGTCTGTGGTGGTCCAAGACTGTTTTGTTTAGCTTGTTATACCTGCTTCCGTACACGTGCTTGGCTACTGTCCGTAAGTGGGCACAGGACATTTTTCAACAGTGACGTTCACAAACTCTGCGTAGGACTGAGTCTGTGAATTCATCACGAGCCTGACTGACCCTGATGGGTCACCTCTCAGGTGACCCCTCCTCTCATGACCCAGACCAGGAGCTCAGGACCCCATTTCGGCTCAGTCGATCTGTTGACGTTGGACATGACCTGATGATCCGAACACTTGCCTGATCCAGGCCACTGACTGCATCTTCCCTGCTCGTATTAGAAGTCTCACATGGCAGCTAAATTACAGCTAATTGCTAATAGTTGATTAAAATAGCTTTAAGAAAACTAAAACCCATATGAACTTCCCCTCTTTTTTTTTTTTTTTTTTTTTTTTTTTTGTCAAGGAAAACTTGCACAATATTCACCAGTGTTGTGAGCTTTTGTCATGGTTTCAGCTCAGAGGGCAACTGAGCACCATGCAGCCGCAAACTTCCCCCTTCCCCCTCATCACTGAGAAGGAGAAAATAGGCAAAGGCTCCAGATTCAAGTCAGGACAGGGAGGGATGAATCAGCTGTTGTGGTCACAGACAAAATAGTCTTGTTAGGGGAAGAAAAAAATAACAAATTTAATACAGACACTAACAACAACAACACTTAACAGACAGAGTAGGACAGTGAGAAGCATTGCCACATCTTGAGAACACCTTCCCCCCACCCCTCCCTTCTTCCCGGGCTCAGCTCTGCTCCCGATATCTCTACCTCCTCCCCCAGTGGCGCAGGGGGAGGGAATGGGGGGTGCAGTCAGTGCTGCCACTTTCTCCATCTTCAGTGGGGGGAGCTTCTGGAACTTGTTCCCCCTGCTTTAATGTGGTCCCCCTCTCATAGTCAACAGTCCTCCACAAACTCTCCAACTGGATTCCCTCCCACGGCTGCAGCCCTTCCCGAGCTGCTCCGGCGTGGGACACCCCCGCATGCTGCAATCCTCCCAGCGTTGAATTACAGCAGCAGGGGCTGCTTCCCACAAGACCCCGGCCTTCTTCGGGCACAGCACCTTGATCATCAAGGTGAAAAACACAGGCCATAAATCAGTGTCTGCTCCACCGTAGATCTCCATGGGTGGCAGGGGGGGCCGCCCTGCCGTCTCCCCACAGGATACAGGGGGGTCTCTGCTCCGGCACACCTCCCCCCTCCTTTCTTCCTCCATTCCTCCACTGACCTTGGTGTTCACGCAGCTGCCCCAACTCCTCCTCACCAGTCCCACTGCCCGTCACCACGTCCCTTCTTAAATACGTTATCGCAGAGGCGCAGCTGATGGGCTCGGCCCTGGCCAGAGCCGGGTCTGACTTGGAGCTGGGGGAGCTTTGAGAAGCTTCTCACAGGGGGCCACTGCTGTAGCCCCCTCCCCTGCTACCAAAAACCCCACTCAAACCCAAGACAGCTTCCCAGGCAAAGTTAGGCAAGGAACACAGCAACAGCATCATACAAGAAGTGATTTTGTAATGCAATTCAACAGGTGAATTGCTGAACGTGATTTCCTTTTAAGCTTTCAATCAGAGTAGCAACCCAGAAAAAAAACAGTTGAAAATAATATTTGGATAAATATTGCTGTGTACATTCCCTGGATTACTTAACCACTGTGGTAGAAATTGATATGGGCTGGATGAGTACTTTATATCTTGCTCTTCTAGGTTATAAAGTTCTTGTATAGTGACCTCTTTGGCAGGCAGATCAGTTTTCACTGCATGATCTGCACAGAATCCAACATACTTGTCTGTGGTCAAATAATACAATAATAATTATATTTGTTATAACAATTACATTACATGCATTTTTAAGAGTAGTTTCCCAGTTCACCAAATAACATTGTCCATCTCCCAAAGTATGAAGTTCCCCTGTGATTCCCCTGTGCTTCCCTACCACACTCGGACATGCTGCGAACATTGTCAGTTCTCAATGGATTAATGCAATTCCTAATTCAGTAACTGATGGAAAAGTGATGATTTTCATTCAAAAGAATCGATTGGTACAGGCAAATAAACCCAGCTGGTGAGCAATAATCAGCAGTTGGAAGTTCTACACAACACTGAACTCCAGGGGAAGAGCAAAAGTTTGTGGGAACTGAATTTCCTGCCCTGCAAATCTGGCCTCTTCCAACAGCAAATCTAAAATAAAGTCAGTCCCCATTTCAGCTGGGGTAGGTTGCAAGTTTCATAAATTTTAAGGCCTATCATCGTCCCCCCCACCCAAGATTTATCTTTTGCTCCTACGAAAAACATTCTACCATGATTTCATATCATGTTAATGCCAGGTCTGCACTGACATAGATACGGTCGCATTTCACCACTCCTGGCATAACTTTTGTTGCAGGGGAGGCATGAGTACCCACTTTTTACACCTCTTAAGTTGCAAACCACACGCACAAGCGTTTACACGGGCTTCATGCTTGCTGAGGGAAATCTAACCCAACAGACAGGTACCAGGGCATGGACGTGTACAACCTGATTGGGTGTGAAGTCTGCCGAAACACCATGCAGAAAAATGCATCTCTCTCTCTCTCTAGCTGCTGCTTCTCCTTAGTCCTCACTGGGGAGAAGGAAACAGGGAGAGAGCACGGTGCAGAGACAGATGTGCAATATGGAGCTTTACCCTGCAAAATCATTCCTGGCTTCAGCCACGCCTGTCCCACCTGCAGAACTGCCAGGCTGGGTGAGTGACTGGTGGTCCGGTGATGCTCTTGAACCCTTGGATGCTCTACAGTATCTCCAGGAGGCAGGAAATACCAGGGATGCAGCTGCCTCTAGGGCAGGGGGGATTCATACTCCTCACTGCCACTCCCCGAGTCAGGCTGGACGAAGTCCACTTCTCCTCTCCATCACCCTCACAGGCTGGTCCCCGCTCCCGCGCAGTCATTCAGTCATTTCCACACTAACCGCGTTACCAGCTGCTTCCAGTCACTTCTGCTTCCTTTTCCAGACGGCCAGGCTGCAGGGAGGTAACAGAGGCTTAAGCACCAGTGATGATGAGGAGGTCAGAGGAACTGAACAGATCTTCACAGTCCATCAGGGAAGGTCTACAGGAAGGGTCCTGGGAAAGGCTCGATGAAGGACTTCCTACTTCCAGCTGAGACTGATGGAGAAAGGTTTGTACTTCAGACACATTGGATGTGCAAGGTGACCTTTGAGAAGTCTGGGCTGAACTGACTACGTAGTTTCCAAGGTAGCATCCCATGTACGCTCACCATTCACTGCGGTGAAAAGGGAAGTAACCGTTATCCCTGGGAACCAGTGACCCTTGGTGGTTCCTCTCAGCCCAGTGCTGGCCAATTCACAGCTGGAGATGCTGTGGACTGGTGGAGACTCTGTCCACAGTGGATGTCCTGGTTGAATTGAAGCCTCCCGAATATTCAGCCGTTAATCCATGGGGTAAACTTGGAGATGCTCGGCCACTCCAGCTGGTCTCAGGCAGACAGGTTTAGGGTGTCTATTCCCTCTCCTGTGTCTGTACTGCGCTGCCCTGGCCATGGAGCGATATATATGTGTCCTGGGTTGAGTGAGTGGTGGAGTTTTTTGGTGGCAGGGGGAGGGGGCTATCGGGGCGGCCCCCTGTGAGAAGCTTCTCGAAGCTCCCCCAGCTCCACGTCAGCTCCACTTCTGTTTGGGAAATTGAGCCAATCGGCTGCGCCTCTGCGATAACGTATTTAAGAAGGGACGTGGTGACGGGCAGTGGGACTGGTGAGGAGGAGTTGCTGCAGCTGCATGAACACCAAGGTCAGTGGGGGAACGGAGGAAGAAAGGAGGGGGGAGGTGTGCCGGAGCAGAGACCCCCCTGTATCCTGTGGGGAGACGGCAGGGCAGCCCCCCCCTGCCACCCATGGAGATCTACGGTGGAGCAGACATTGATTTATGGCCTGTTGTTCCTGCTCAGCTGATCAAGGTGCTGTGCCCGAAGAAGGCCGGGGTCTCATGGGAAAAAGGCAGCCCCGCTGCTGTAATTCAGCGCTGGGAGGATTGCAGCATGTGGGGGTGTCCCACGCCGGAGCAGCTCGGGAAGGGCTGCAGCCGTGGGAGAGAATCCAGTCGGAGGAAGTTAGTGACCCATGACGGAGCAGTGTGGGGAACGCTGCGGCCCGTGGGAGGAATTCAAGTCAGAGAAAGTTTGTGGAGGACTGTCTCCTGTGAGAGGGGGACCACGATGGAGCAAGGGGGAACAAGTTTTGGACACTCCCCTCACCGAAGATGAAGGAAGTGGCAGCACTGACTGCACCCCCCATTCCCTGCCCCTGCGCCACTGGGGGAGGAGGTAGAGATATCGGGAGCAGAGCTGAGCCCGGGAAGAAGGGAGGGGTGGGGGGAAGGTGTTCTCAAGATGTGGCAATGCTTCTCACTGTCCTACTCTGTTATGTGTTGTTAGTGTCTGTAATAAATGTATGTTCTTTTTTTTCTTCCCCTAACGAGTCTGCCTTTTGCTCGTGATCATAAAAGGGGGATTTTCCCCCATCCCAGTCCTATCTCGAACCCCAAGCCTGGCTCTCTGTCCCTTCTCATTGCTGGAGGGGAAGGGAGAGAGAGCTGCTGCGTTGTGGTTGGCTGCCAACCAGGCCTAAACCACGACAATATGGATCCTGACAGTGTGTTTGTATGGTTCAGGTGCTCTGTCTATCTTGAACAGCTGAAGCTGAATAAATATGTAACTCAGACGGATGAAGTTTCCCCGCTCCGTGACTTGGGGTCCCAAAGGACTTGTTCAGAATAAGGATGTCACACCCAGGGCAGGCCTCAGAGCAGAGGACAGGGGGAGGAAGGCAGTTGCTCAGTTGGTTCATTGTCTTTACCTCTTCTGTGCATGTTTTTATGGATACCACATCTGTCCAGGCTAGCGTTAGCAAAGGAAGGAAATGACAGGGAAAGGTAAGAG